AAAAAAAAAAAAAAAAAAAAGAATTAGAGTTAATGTTTGTTTTTGTGTTTTTCTGTCCATTTTTTGCTCTTCTTTAATTGCTAATTTTTTTAAAATATTACAGTATTTATTGGCCTTTACATATGCAGATGTACAAAAAAGACTGAAAATAAGCTCTTAATCTCCTTATGCAGGATTCTGTTGACTTTAAAAACTAACGTTATAGGCTCGGCACCTGTGGCTCAAGTGACTAAGGTGCCAGCCACATACACCTAAGGTGGCGGGTTCGAATCCAGCCCAGGCCCATCAAATACGACGGCTGTAACCAAAAAGTAGCCAGGCACTGTGGCGAGTACCTGTGGTCCCAGCTACTTGGGAGGCTGAGACAGGAGACTCACTTGAGCCCAAGAGTTGGAGGTTGCTGTGAGCTGTGTGATGCCACGGCACTCTACCCAGAGGGATAGCTTGAGGCTCTGTCTCAAAAAAAAAAAAAAAGTTAGAGAATTGGGAATTTTAAAAATTGAGATATGTATATTATTCAAAAAGAATACATAATATCAGGAAATTCAGGCCAGGCACGGTGGCTCACACCTGTAATTCTAGCACTCTGGGAATCTGAAGGCAGGTGGATTGTCTGAGCTCACAGGGTCAAGACCAGCCTTGAGCCAGAGCAAGACCTCGTCTCTTAAAAATAGCCGAGTGTTGTGGTGGGCATCTGTGGTCCTAGCTACTCAGGAGGCTGAGGCTAGAGAATCGCTTAAGCCCAAGTGTTTGAGGTTGCTGTGACTCCACGGCACTTTACCACGGGTGACATAGTGAGTCTCTTTCTCTCAAAAAAAAAAGGAAATTCAATAAAGCAGAAAGGCACAAAATAGGCAGTGAAGGCAGCTTATCTTAATAGTCTGCTATGATTTCTTCCAGGAGAAAAAAATGTATGTGTATATAATATGTTCCTATTTTTTATATATCCTTTGCTGTTTAAAACATGTTGGTTCCTGAACAGCAAGCATTTAGGTAGAGAGGGATTCATTCAAAAAATAAAACTGGGCTCGGCGCCTATAGCTCAACCGGCTAAGGCGCCAGCCATGTACACCTAAGGTGGCGGGTTCGAATCCCCAGCCCGGCCCCGCCAAAACAATGACGGCTGCAACCAAAAAATAGCCAGGCGTTGTGGCGGGCGCCTGTGGTCCCAGCTACTTGGGAGGCGGAGGCAGGAGACTCGCTTGAGCCCAGGAGTTGGAGGTTGCTGTGAGCTGTAATGCCACGGCACTCTACCCAGGGGGACAGCTTGAGGCTCCGTCTCAAAAAAAAATAAATAAATAAATAAAACTGAAGGCCAGGCACAGTGGCTCTTGCCTGTAATGCTAGCACTTTGAGAGGCTGAGGCAAGAGGATTGCTTGAGGTCAGGAGGTTAAGACTAGCCTGAGCAACACAGGGATACCCAATCTCTACAAAGTTAAAAGAAATCAGCCAGGCATCAAAACATATACTATAGTCTCAGCTGCTTAGAAAGCTGAGGCAGGAGGATTGCTAGAGCCCAGAAGTTTGTGGTTGTAGTGAGCAGCTCGGTATGCAGCAGTAGCGAGCTATGGTACCACTGTAGTCAAGCTCAGGCAACACATAAGAGACTTCTGAAAAAAATAAATTAAAATTTTAGAAAAAGAGTTGGGTAAGTGAGAGCTAAATGGCCAAAGTTAATTTTGTTTGTTGTTTGTTTTTTAAATATAAGAGGAATGTGCTATTTACACTCTTTGCATCTTTTTTAACATCTTGGAACCCTTTGAAGAGACAGATCTATAGCATTCTCTGTATTGACTATATAGTATTCCTATTGTACAGAGATGCCATATTTTATTTAACTGGTATCCATTTGATGGATATTTAGGTTGTTTGGAGCCTTTTGCTATTAAATTTTCATACTTCATTATATATATTGCTGTCAAGCTTTGGAGGGTAGAATAAATTGCTAGGGTTGAAATTCTAAGGTCAAAGAATATATGCTAATTGTTCATCAGAAAGTTATTTTGTGTATATGTGTATTAAATACACAGCAAAAATTCCTGGATACATATATTCTAAATTCAGTAGTGATTATTTCAGGGAGTATGAGAAAATAATGATTAGTATAGTGGAACGATTAGTAGAGAGATCTGCAATGTTTCATTCTTACCTGGGATAAATTAACATTTATATTACTCACGTGATTATTTCAAAAGTTTTAAATGGATCAAAGATTAGTCCAGACAGATTGCCAGTTATTCTAAGACCATTTAATAATATATTTAGTGATATGCTTCCCCAACACTGAATTGGAAATATCATCATTACCATAAACCAGTAATTGTCAGCCAGGTAATCTCGCCCTCCAGGAGACATTTGACAAAGTTTGGCAACATTTTTGGTTATCTGGACAGCTAGTAGATAGAGGTTGGGAGTGCTGCTAAACATTTCTGCAATACACAGGAAACTCCCACCCTACCTTTGTACACTTAACAAAGAATTGTAGAGCCTAAATTATTAGTAGCACTGAAGTTTAGAAACTATTCCAAACAAAAATTTCTTTTTTGTGGGCTTATTGCCAAGAGTTGTCTTTCATTGTTTAGTCTGTTTTCCTCTTTAGTACTAAATATACAAATATACTCTTAATTATTGAAGTTTCATACTGTATTGTAGCATTCCAGTTTTCCTCACCATCTCTCCCAGTCATTGTCTGTCCCCATTACATACAGTCTGCTGCAGATTTTGTTTTTCTTACATGTTTTTCTAATTGAACTTGATTATCATTTCAGTTTCTCAGAAGTCATATTGATGTCTTTAGCTAGTATTGCATTGACTTAAGAGTTAATTTGAAAAATATTGTCACTTTTATAGTATTGACTCTTAGGAGTATGAGATATCCTGTGATTCAAGTGATTCTCTTGCCTCAGCCTCCCAAGTAGCTAGGACTACAGGCACCTGCCACAACGCCCACCTATGTTTAGAAACAAGGTCTCACTCAGGCTGGTCTCGAATGTGTGAGCTCAGGCAATCCACCCACCTCAGCCTCCCAGAGTGAGGCCATGAACCATCACTCCCAGCCCCTTAAAGTAATATGGAATTTGAAGAAATACTACTTGAAATGGATGTTATCTTCCTGATCATGTTGAAAATGCTTGTGGTGTAAAGTATATTAAGCATGATGGTAAAGCCTTTTATTTTATATATATACATCTCATATTTGAAGTATCAATCTATTCCTGGTTTCATAAGTAATTTCTGAATCAGTAATGGAAGTTGAACTTTTTTTTTTTTGGAGACAGACCGTCACGCTGTCCCCCTGGGTAGAGTGCCCTGGCATCACAGCTCATAGCAACCTCCCACTCCTGGGCTCAAGTGAGTCTCCTGCTTCAGCCTCCCAAGTAGCTGGAACCACAGGCGCCCACCACAACAACACCCAGCTATTTTTTGGTTGCAGCCGTCATTGTTGTTTGGCGGCTCAGGCTGGATTTGAACCTCCCACCTCAGGTGTATGTGGCTGGTGCCTTAGCCACTTTTTTTTTAAGAGACAGCGTCTCACTCCATTGCCTTTAGTAGAGTGTCACAGCTCACAGCAACCTCCAGCTCTTGGGATTAGGCAATTCTCTTGCCTCAGCCTCCCAAATAGTTGGGACTACCAGTGCCTGCCACAACACCCAGCTATTTTTTGTTGCAGTTTGGCCGGGCTGGGTTTGAACCCGCCACCCTTGGTATATGGGGCCAGTGCCCTACTCACTGAGCCACAGGCACCGCCTGGAAGTTGAACTTTATCAGCCTGTTAATATTGTATATTTATTTATACAGATAGTTTTTTTCTTTTTTTCATATTGAGCTTCCTTAGCATTCCAGGGATGCAGATACATATATATACATCTTTTAATGAAGTTTTAAGTTCTTTTTTTGTTGTTGTTTGGCAGGCTCTACCTGGGTTTGAACCCACCAGCTCCCGTGTATGTGGCTGGCACTACAGCCGCCTAGCCTTTTTTTTTTTAATTAAGTTATTTTAGTTTGTTTAGCAAGCCCGTGCCAAGTTCAAACCCACCAGCCTTGGTTCACATGGCCAGGTCCCTAACCATTGAGCTACCAAGCAAAGTGTTAAGTTCTGTTTGCTGATAGTTTAAGAATTTTACAGTGACACAAAATAAATTTTTGTAGTTTTATTTCTGTGCTCTTTGTCAGATTTAGAAGCAGTGATCATTAACTGTCAGAATAATTTGGAAGCTTTTGTTCTTTTAAATCTGAAGCAGTTTTAGCAGCATCACTGGTGGAGCATGGTGGCTCACACCTGTAATCCCAGTGCTTTGAGAGGTGGAGATGGGAGGATCACTTGAGGCCAAGGGTTCAAAACAAGCCTGGGCAACATAGACACCATCCCCACACAAAATTTTTTTTTAATTTTAAAAAAAATTTTGCATTTAATTTATAAAATTTATGTGACATCGTTGGTTCCCAGTACCTTTTA